AGCTTAATGTATAATACGCATCTGTACATTAATAATATCATTAATAGATAATAATCAATCTCTCCACATAACCAATTAATAACGGGCCTATATTATTTAATCAATATATAATAATAATAATCGACCATATATGCGTAATAATAATAATAATAATAATAATAATAATAATAATAATAATAATAATAATAATAATAATAATAATAATAATAATAATAATAATAATAATAATAATAATAATAATAATAATAATAATAATAATAATAATAATAATAATAATAATAATAATAATAATAATAATAATAATAATAATAATAATAATAATAATAATAATAATAATAATAATAATAATAATAATAATAATAATAATAATAATAATAATAATAATAATAATAATAATAATAATAATAATAATAATAATAATAATAATAATAATAATAATAATAATAATAATAATAATAATAATAATAATAATAATAATAATAATAATAATAATAATAATAATAATAATAATAATAATAATAATAATAATAATAATAATAATAATAATAATAATAATAATAATAATAATAATAATAATAATAATAATAATAATAATAATAATAATAATAATAATAATAATAATAATAATAATAATAATAATAATAATAATAATAATAATAATAATAATAATAATAATAATAATAATAATAATAATAATAATAATAATAATAATAATAATAATAATAATAATAATAATAATAATAATAATAATAATAATAATAATAATAATAATAATAATAATAATAATAATAATAATAATAATAATAATAATAATAATAATAATAATAATAATAATAATAATAATAATAATAATAATAATAATAATAATAATAATAATAATAATAATAATAATAATAATAATAATAATAATAATAATAATAATAATAATAATAATAATAATAATAATTTTGATAATAATAATAATAATTTTGATAATAATAATAATAATTTTGATAATAATAATAATAATTTTGATAATAATAATAATAATTTTGATAATAATAATAATAATTTTGATAATAATAATAATAATTTTGATAATAATAACAATAACAATAACAATAATAATAATGAGAAAAGTTGTCTATCTATATCGAACATTTAGAAAAGATTGCTTATAATGAAGGGACCGTTCTAATTTCGACGTTGACGACGCCGATAGGAGAAAATAGATGAACTTGGTATTGCGTTTACAGTTCTAATCGTGGTCGCATGCGCGACCCAGACGAATATCGCATTTCTAACATAACGAGGATAGAAAAGAATTATGAGCTCGAAAAGGGTCAGAAGCTCGTACGTGATTAAGGATTTTTCTTCGATCGTTTCTTTTTTTCTTTCTTTTCTTTTTCTTTTTCTTTTTCTTTTGTCTTTTTCATTTTTTTCATTTTTTTCTTTCTTTTCTCGAACGAGATCGATTCGTTTTTTACGATAAACGTTTATCTAGAGATATTTATCTTAAACGAGTACGCTCGAAAAACTCTCGAATATGTTAACTTATTCTTCAATCTTTCACGAGAGGTATATCGACGTTGCACTATATGGAACGATTAACATTTTATTCTCCTTCATAAAATCGATTCCAGATCGATAAGTTCTCATTGAGATCTAAATGATTGTTACTTATTTCCAATAAACGAATACGATGTATACATATCGAGTTATCAAATATTTTCTTCTTTTTTTTTTAATTTCTCCTGTGCTCCGCTTGGAAAAATGTATAGAGGGCTAAAGTATTAGAGGGGTATTGAAAAGTTGAATCGAACCGTTCACAACGACCCTTCTTACGCCACTTATATGTCACGGCCGGCTCACAGCCGGGAGACATTGATATATCTATCGAAAGCTCTTGGATAAAGGAAGATGGCGATAGCTATGTACATACGTATCTATGTAACTACGTATGTATGTACGAACGACTGTATGTACGTACGAACGAGAAACGGCTCGTGAAAGCCGGGTCGCAAGCCATACAAACCTATGTATATGTATCTACGTAAAAATAACTATCAACTGAGAATTTATTTCGATTTATTGATTTCGTTTGTTTATTTCTTTATCTCTTTTAATTTTCGATTCAGCAAGGAAGTTTTGTCGGAACAAAAAAGAAAAAGAAAGTTCGAAAGATAAAATACAATGGGTCTTTAAGGAATTATCGTCGTATTATAAATTATCATATCGAATTGATGCAAATTTCATATTTTTTTGTATATTTCAACTTTGAGGATTAAAAAATTTTTTCTCGTACCTTCGTACTTGTTAGTTCGCACGGATGAAGAGCAACGAAGCGACGGGAAAAGAGGAGTAGTTTATGTTACGTAACCGTGTAAACATACGAGGGCGCGTGTGTAGAGAATGTCTGCGCATATTTCACAGTCGTCCTTACGCTTCTCTACTCGAGGTAACAGTGGAAACTTGATTTTTCATATCACCGTCATTTTTCTCTTCTAAACTAAATAACAAAGACGATCATTTGCCTCTATGATTTTGACTTTTTTTCTTGTTTTTTCTTGTTTTTTCTTCTTCCTAAGACTTATACATATCACACTAAAAACAGTGAAGTCGTACGGTTCAGTTTAAATCTTCTTTATAATCCATCAAGACTCAATGCACTTTTATATTTTAAAATAATTTTTTTCAAATATCAAATTTTCATTAAATTACTAGTGTAAAATAAACTTTTGAGAAGGCTAGATCAACGAAAAGATATATATATATATATATATATATATATATATATATATATATTGTATATACAAAAAAATATCGAAAATGTAGGAGGATTTTCCATGATGATATACATAGGATAAAATGTTGAAAATGTCAGATGTATATAGATATATAATTAGTCACTTGGTTTAATTCTTCTAATTTTATCGTTCTGCGAGGAGGCATTATGCTACGGACGCGTCAGCTTTTCTATTTTCCATGGCTTAACATTTTCATTAGAGAGATTTTAAGGGTAAATGGTGATCGCTGACATTTATCATCGAATAATTCATTGGCCTCGTCAACTTTAGATCCATTTAAATTATTAAATTATTTTATATACTTATATAGCAATAATTACCAAATGATTTCTTTCTTTTCTTTTTCTCTTTTCTTTTTTTTCGCTTTGTTCCTTTCCTTTGTCTTTCACGCTCAAGCTATTATCAACTATCGTCTACGGCCTTAATTTTATTTCACTTTATTTAATCTCCTTCATTTTCGACACTTTGGAAAACGAAAAAAAAAGAAAAAAAGTCGAACATCAGTAGATTGGATTGGCTAGTTCGTTCGATTTATAACGAGCGATGTTCGTCGAGTGGGTACCTTGTCAAGAGAAAGTACGAAACGAGATTGGTAAAATAAGAAAAACTAGGAGAAGAAAGAAGAAAAGAAGGGAAAAAAGTAAAGAGACACCATTACTTCTTTCATATTCATCTTCTTTTTCTTCTTCTTCTTCTTCTTCTTCTTTTTCATCTTCTTCTTTTAATTTATCTACATATCGAGTCGGAAATTCCAATAAGAAAAATTGATTTTCCGTAAGCTGCTCAATTGGAAGTTTTAATCAATTAGGATTAATGAGACATAACAAAAAGAGGTACTCCTTTGAACAGCGTACGTAGTCAACTCGTATACTCATTATTTATATCACACATCTATGTCTATATTGATCAATATTTTAATTCCACTATTTACATATTCTTCATAAGTTAATAAAAATATGTTATATTTATAATTTTTAACTATCGAATTTTACAAAATACAAACAAATTTTCCCTCTATTAATATTTCCTCGCAATATTCTCTTAAACGGTTCTTAAACTTTTTTCACTGTAACAATCTGATATATAGACTGTAATACTCTTTTATGAAAAAAAATTAAAGTGCTAATTCTTTTATATTGTTACTTAAATCTTTAAGAATGTGGGACAAAGTGAGTTCTCGTTTTATCTCAGCGGTCGAGTATATTATTTACTATGAAAAAAAGAAAAACCAAATAATTATCTTTGTACAAATGTACACTCTTATTTATAACTTAATTTTTATATCTCTCCCGGTCCTTAATAAAAGCAGGATTGAAAAATTAAGCAATTTGCGAAGATGGAGCAAAACGAGAAATAAAAGTTTATTCTTTTTAAAGAAATTCTCTTTTTTTCGCATAAATTTCAAGCATACCAATTCAAACAAATTATTCGAGACTATTTTTAACAAATGTCATTAAAATTTCGATTGAGGCAAAGTCATAAAAAATTAGAGGTACTTCTAGATGGGTCTGAAGTTGTTAGGTGGGCAAAAAAATCTGAAAAAAGAAAAATAAGATTAACCCGAAGAAGAGTGATCTATATTCTTTTTTTAAGAACTTTTGACCAGCCTAGGAAGCATCCATCCTTAACATCCATCCTTCTATAATGGAAATTAAAAATATTTATGATTTTTATCGAAAGTTAATATTATGTTATTTCAATTCACTTTAACAAACGTTAATAAGGAGCAATAACAACATTTTTATTTCTTTTGCGTCGATGAACAAGCGAGTGAACATGAATTAACTTGATATACATATAGGTCGATCGAAGGTGATGATAGTATAATGTTTTAGAATTGTGCACGGTATCGTAACTATCGGTCGACTCTTCGGGTCTCTACAGACGACGAGTTGGTTATCGTCACGGCGTGGCTTCAAGTGTAAGGTCAGAGTTATTTTAGAGATAACCACGTTACCTTCGACCTCCTCCCCCTTCCTTTCACCCTACTTCTCCCTTTCTCACCACCCTCCTTCTTCCTCGCTATTCCGAGGATTTACATAAATAAAATAATAAACGATGACGCGAAAGAAAAGAGAGAGAGAGAGAGAGAGAGAGAGAGAGGGAGAGTCTTCTCTTACCACATCCCATTCCTTCTATTAGATTTTTTCGCACAATTTTTTGTATCTCTTAAAATTATCGTTTTTTTTTTCATTTTCTTGTTGGATTTTAGAAAAACCGTCAGTATGGAGATCATCGAGGAAGACTCTTACGAAAAAGATGCTCTCTTTTATGTTGAACTTGGGGAACCACAGTTACAAGGAGGTAAGTTTTAAATAAATATATATAATAATAATAATATAATTGTGTGTGTCCTAATGTTCCTCGTGTTCTTTTAATTGTTTACTATTACCGTTGAAAAGTCGCTCAGGTCATTATTAGCTGAGATGTTTCTTCGCGATGGAGTAAAAAAGAAAAATAGGGAAGAAAAAAAACAGAAAGAAAAAAGAACGAAGGGAAGAAAGAGAGCTGCAAGAGATGAATGAGAGTGGTCTGACGATGAATGGAGCCGATTATAGTCTCTCGGTGATTCTAAACTTATTTTTCTTTTCTTTTTTCTTTTCTTTCTTTCTTTCTTTCTTTCTTTCTTTCTTTCTTTCTTTCTTTCTTTCTTTTTTTCTTCTTTTCCCTTTCTTTTCTAATTTTTTTTCCCTCTTAATGAAGATTAATTCGTTCGAGAAGATCGTTGATCGGTATGCCTCATAACTTTTTAAAATTGCATGGAATGAGAGGGTTGAAATTCACGGAATTTCACTCTATATATCCCTGTTAGAATCTATACGGAGAGAACATTTTTTTTCCCGCTCATTGTTTCAACGTGTTTTCTAAAGGAAGGAAGACGAAGTGCATTCGATTGCTACGAGAAACGGTACGGGCATTCATTCTTCTTATATTATTCTTTCATGCATTTGAGGAATGCACTTTTTTTACGCTTTCTCCCATCATTTCGAATCAATAACGATACATTGTTTTTAAATACATTAAATATATCGGTCAAGTGCGATCTATGTACATACATATTTAACTAAATATAAACATATATATATATATATATAAATATATGAAAATATATTTATCCCAGAGAAATACAGTATTCTATTACGTTTCCTTTTCATTAATTTGTCATGCTTTCGTCGATATTATACTTGGATTTCGTCACACTGAATGTAAGTTTCGCATAAACACGTTATAATTATCGAATATCGTATAAATTTCGATGATATCTGTTTGATCTTTAATGATAAAAAATATTAAACACAAATATGTATTTTCGCATAGATTGTAACCAGAGATGCAAAAGTTTTTAAATGATTTTATAAATCAATTACTACTTTTCTTGAGACTTTTTATGCTTTTAATTAAGCTTGATAATTTTACAATTTGATAAATGATCAGTTTAAAATTTCTCGGCGAAAAAAGAGTAATATGATTTATTAAATCACCCAAAGACTTTTAGTATTCATCTTGTATTATATGTTGAAAACCTTAAAAAAAAGAAGATACTTCTTTTTCATTTTTGTAGGTTTATGTTAGTCTCATTCCAAAACGTTAGTACAGTTATCATAGTTCATATATACGTTGCTTCATAAACGTCAATCGATTTCTTTTCAAAAACGTAACTTTTTTACTTTTGGTGATCTAGCGATCATGATTTGCATATTACGAGTTTTCCCAACGTCCTCACTCGTAACATTCACTCTCAAGTTCATGCATATGCATTCCCTTATTTTATTTATAATTATTTTATCCTTCGTACTCTCTATTCTTCTTTTTTCGTGAGATGTACCTATGGCAAGATGCAGAAATTCATTCGTTCGTTCGATCGTTTTAAAAACAAAGTAAAGCCGGCCGTAAAATCCTGAAATTTCGCTACCGACTCATTCGGACACTCTGACAACAAAAAAAAAAGAAACAAAAAAAAAGAAGAAGTAAAATGGGCGAATGGAGAAAAAAGATAATCAATTAGCTGATCGAATTGATTTCACATCGACGAAGCAAAATCTATGAAGTTGGTCTAAGAGATGATTAACTCCATAATGATAATTTCATTATTTCTTTGTATCGCGCAATCAAATAATAAAAGAAAAAAATTATTTCATTCTCGTTTCCATTAATATAATATAAAACATTATATCTACTTTATTATTTTTACAACTTTTATAAATTTATCCAAAGCATCCTTTCCTCAGATTATTTTTATAATGAAAATAAATTTCATAAATACACGTTTTACATGTTAACAGGTTAATGGCTTGGGTATAATTTATTTTTAGATAGGTATATATATATATATATATATATATATATATATATATATAAAATTCCAAGAATGATCGTTTGATGATCATGTAGGTGTATACATACTAATCGTTTGGTATTACACGTTCTTTTGTATATTAATCACGTGACATTGAGAAGTAATTCGAATTGTTTCTGTCTCGAGATCTGTTAATCCAGCTTTCAGGATGTCATCTCACGTAGGAAAGGGAGAAAGAAAGAGAAATAGAAAGAGAGAAATAGAGAGAGAGAGAGAAAAGAGAGAGAGAGAGAGAGAGAGAGAGAAGTGGGAAGACAAATTATTATCCGGCAGCAGGCGGAACAACTCCGATGATAGTAGTGGGGTTGGACTATTATTAGCATGACTCACATTCCCATTATTTCTGTTGGCGCTTCTGAATGCGCTTAGGTGTTGTTTCATGATTCAACTTACGTGCGCATCATACCATCATAGGATTATTCAAACGCGTTTCATGCTTTGTCTCACCTTGAAACCTCTTTAGTTAACTCTAAGACACATGACAAGCTAATTAATGATTTCTGAATGGAAAACGATAAACGTTATAAAATTAATCACATAAATGTTATTAATAAGTGCCACATATAAATAAGTGCTACAAGTATTTCATAAACGCTATTAAGCATTTAAAAACTGACTGATGTGTTAATGTATACGTGTAGGCGCGAATATGTGTGTGCGTTTGCGTGTATGTGTGCGTATGTGTGTAATTTGACCAATTTTGATTAGTATCGAATAGTTTATCTTTATTACAATACTTTAATGCCTACAAAATATTTATATACATATATTCATATTAAATATTTACAACTCGATTAAACAACTCGATATAAAACTGGTTAACAACAAAATCTGACGTTGAATTAAATTCGACATAGGAAGGTTTTGTATTATAAAAAAAAAATTAATAGAAGACATGAAGAGAGAAAGAGATGTAGAGAAATAGGTGTTTTATGTATAATAATAATTATATATAAATATTAGATATATTGAAAAAGGAAAGAATATAATATCCTTGTAAGTATGTTCGTGATATTTATCTAAGATATATGAAATTCGAAATATTGACCAAAACAATAAAGGATATTCAATGAAAAAGTATCGCCAGTTTCTAGTGAAATATCGCTGATAATAATAATACGATGAAATATTCGACGTTTAATGGATTTCAATACGAATATACATATATACTTATGTAAAGATAAAAATAAATACATAGATACTTATTACGTCCATTTATCTATGTGTGTCTACAAAGGCATATATACGTATCTGTGTATGTATCTATGTATATTCATCGTTCATACTATGTATAGAATGTAGAAAAATAATAAAAAAGAAAAAGCTAAAATGAATGATATAACAGTGACATTAAATAAAAGATAAAATTTAAAAGGTTGAACGTTTTTTTCTCGACTTTGGGAACTGGTTTAAAGAAATAAATGGCGTTGAGATAATAAAACCGGCAATTTCAAAGGCGAGCATTTATTAATATACTTTTTTTACGAGGACAATAAAACGTTACTAAATATAAGATAATAATACCTTAATATATGCCACGTTCGTAATGCAAGCCGTATGTTTTTTTAAATATCCGTGTATATAAATGTATATGTATGTTATATATTTGTACGAGTTTTATGCTATGCATTTGCCACATTGTTCTCGGTTGCGTTAACAAAATATATTTTTATTCTTTAAAAAAAAAAAATAAAAAAAGAAAAATAAATGAAAAAAAATAAATGAAAAAAAAGCAGGGAAACGCGTTTGCCAAAACGAGAATAAATATACCGTTGTCTACGTAATTAACTTTATAATTATAGTATAAATTTTTAGAATATTTGAGAATAAAATTTAATTCGAGAAACTTACGTGTACATACATATACATAACATTATATAGGTATATAACGAATAAAAAATAGGTATATAACAAATAGGTATATAACAAATTAAGAATGAATAATATAAAAAACAAAATTTATGCACACATACACACACACACACACACACACACACTCACATATATATATATAATGAAAAGAAACAAATTAAGAATGATTTCAAGTAATTAATAAAAACAAAAGTGGTGTTCATCAATGTGAAATCAATAATGAAAGGGCGTTGGATGGTTCGATGAAGCATTTAACGATCGAGAAAAAAAATAGCAGTGAATAGGATACGCTAATAACGAGAGTAATGAAGATTACGATTCTAGTCTCGTCCTTCGGAAAGGAATTATGTTCTTTATCGTACGGCCACGGTCACGTTTTTCCTTTTATCCTCTTTCCGTTTTTTCCCTCCCTTTTTTTTCTCTTTCCCTTTTTTCTTTCTCCTACCAGCCCATTCCATTTTTCTATTCTTTAACCCCCGTTGCTCATGCACGCTGATACTTTCGTGATAATGGATCGTTCGTTTCTTTCCTATCCTCTTCTTCCTTTTGTCACGGTCTCCAGCTGTTCCCTCCTGTTCCTCCCATACCACTGACCCACATTTTAGAAACGCATATTTTTTCCTTTCCTCTTTCTTTTTTTCTTTCTTTCTTTCTTTCTTGCCCTCTTCTGCCTCCTCTATCTCTCTCTCTCTCTCTCTCTCTCTCTCTCTCTCTCTCTCTCTCTCTCTGTCTCCCTATTTTATAACCGTAATGCAAAGAGTCATAAAAATACATACATATATACATACATACGTATATATATACATATATATTTTTGCAAGGTCGTGCCGCATATACTCGGATGGGCTTTGAGTGATAAATGACTGAAAACCAGGAAAGAGAGAAAGAACACGGGGAGTGGCATAGGGTAAAAAAAAAAGAAACCCTTTTCGCACCGGCCAAGGCCGAAGGACATTGGCAATGAACTTTCGACATCGAATCGAACGAGTAATAATATCGTTCCACGTTTTATCTTTATCCCTTCTATTGTCTACTCAGTAACAAATATCGCTCGAATCCATGTTCCGATTTTTCT